TCCCTTCTTTCTTGTTTGGGTTCCACTCGCCACAGGTCTTACTCTGTCAGGCGCGAGGGCTGCGAGTGCGAGGTGGGTTGATCATGGCTCGACTGCAGGCCTTGACTTCCCCTGGCCCAAGTGGTGATCCTCCCGCCCAGTCTCTCCCAAGTAAAACTTGGGGACTCACAGGGTGTGTGCCCATCCACCACCTGGCAAATATTTTACCTTTTTTGTAGAAGACAGGGGTCTTGCCCTAATGCTGGCCCAGGTTGGTCTCGAACGTCCCGGAGCTGCAAGCCGAGGCCTCCTCTGTGCATTAGGGGCTTCCCAAAAAGTGGCTTAGGACTATAGGGGCAATGAGATCCACGACTTTACTTTGCTAAAATCATCTGAAATCCCATTCCCTGGGTCTCCTAAACTTGTACCACCACCCACTATTTATCTATGGGTGTAGAATCCACAATAGCCCTCCTTACCATTTTTACCCTCACCCCCCTTCAATAGTCTTCACTCGGCAGCCAAAGTAATCCTTCCAAAATGCAAATCTAGTCATATCATTTCTGCCCTGAAAGTCTTTCAATGATTTCAAGGAATAAGAAGGATAAATCCTTACAAAGGCCTACAAGTTTCCATGCAATTTTGGGCCCTTGTGACCTCTCCAATCTCAGCCCATTCCTTCTCACCATGGTTTATCCCTGGCAACCCACGTTTCCAGGGTCCACAGACTTTTTTCATGTCTCGGGACACCCCAGAATCGTTCCCATCTCGGGCCCTTTGGATCCCTATCTGCAATGATTACTCTTCCCCACCAGTTCTGTCTGGATTAACTCCTACTCCACTCTTATAGGGGACCAAGGCTGTTGCAAATACAGGCCACTAAATTATGCCCGCCCCCTTCCATTATTTCTCGGTATAACAGACAGGCCATGTTTTCTTTCAGATTGGACAACTGCAATTAGTAATTACATTGATCTGGCGCATTTGTTTTATTTGTGTCTTTCCCAAGTAGACCAGTGAACCCATTGAAGGGAAAGGAACCACCCTCTTTTTGTTCACCTGCATCCCCACGTGCGGCCTGGCGGCATGCTGGCCTGGGCCACTGGCTGAGCCAATATTATTTTTAAACATTATTTTAATGGCAATAAAATATTTTCTTCAATGGATATCTTTGAATTTAATTTAACCCTTCCTCTGCTGTACGAACATTTAAGTGGCTTCCAATTTTTGTTATTTATTATAGGAATAACACTAGACTAAATATCCTTGTACAAGTCTTTGTGTATCTCTCTGATTATTTCCTTAGCATACATTTCTAGAAGTAGAATACTGGGAAAAATTGTATGAATGATTTTTAAGGATCTGGATAAGTAATTTTCTCTCTGGAGAGACTGTACTAATTATCACCAGTAGCAAATGAGAGTTGGATGGATGATTTTAAATTGAAATGCATCCTACTGCTCTGGTTATGTAGGTTACAGATGTCTGTCATCAGAGGCATTGTTTCTGGAACACCTGAATGAGGAGTGATCGTTGGGAAATTTAATGAGATGTACATATTTAGGTCTGTTCACAAGCTAAGACAAAGGCTGAAATGGATTTTTTTTTTTTTTTTGCAAATTCTGCCCCTCTGCCACTTATAAATTTATCTGCATCCACTCTATCCAACCCTAGTATGTCCCATCCAAGTACTAACCAGGCCCGACCCTGCTTAGCTTCTGAGATCAGACAAGATTAGGTACATTCAGGGTGTTATGGCTGTAGACGCTACTATCTCAGAGAAAGAGATGCTATGCTGGGTGGGCAGGCACAGGTTATTGTTATTCTTCTCCATCTGTTACCCTTTCTTTCTCCAATATCTTCGACCTGCCTGTCTCTATGAGCACATTCCTATTAGCTTTTACACACTCAAATCTCTCTTGTCTTAAAAACAAAAGCAATGCTCTTGCTTCCTCCTCTGCCTGAGGAGTCATGTAATGATGGGGAATCACACAAGTGGGCTTACTGGTTTCACTGTGAATGCATGATCACAAACCTTCAGTGGGCATTTAACCCTGCCTGGTAACTCTACCATATTTTTCAATAAATTCACTTTCTAAATAACCAAGATAAGTATTTCATACTATTTATTCTCTCTTTTCAAACATTCCAACCTTTTTCTTCCAATTCTAAATCTCGTCTGATGACATTATCTTGTATTTCCTTGATTTCTGTATCTTTGTTTTCATTTTGCATCTCAGAAGCAGACTTGCAGGGATTCATCATAAATTCATGTAAGACAAATTTTATTTTATTTCACTCCTTTCTTCCTCAATTTTTACTTCTGTTCCTCCCTATGATAAGTAGGCACCAACAAATGGTTTTTATGTATGTCATTGATTATATATAGATGTGTTTAATATTTCTATAAATGACATTGTGCTTCAGATCTCACTCTGTACTTTTACTTTTTTCTCAACATGATATTTTTGAGGAATCATCTATGTTGCAGTATGTATAATTTGCTTCTAACTGATGTTTGATATTCTACAATATACATCTAGCTACTTTACTTCTCCATTACCACTAAGGATGAACAGGTAGATTGTCTTCAACTCTCCATTGCTACAAACACTATGGTGAATATCTTTGTCCATGTTCTTTTTTTTTTCTTTGTTTCTTTTGAGATGGAGTCTCGCTCTGACCGCCAGGCTGGAGTGCAGTGGCATGATCTCGGCTCACTGTAACCTCTGCCTCTCAGATTCAAGTGATTCTCCTGTCTCAGCCTCTCGAGTAGCTGGGACTACAGGCATGCACCACCATGCCCAGTTAATTTTTGTATTTTTAGTAGAGATGGGGTTTTACCATGTTGGCCAGAACGGTCTCGATCTCTTGACCTCGTGATCCACCCGCCTCAGACTCCCAAAGTGCTGGGATTGCAGGCATGAGCTACCACGCCCTGCCTGTGCATGTTCTTTAATGGCTCTGTAGGATCAGATTCCTGGTATGTATCCAGTGCAGACTACTGGATAACAAGGTACATCCATTCTCTATTTGACCAAGA